CATGGGCATATGAGCCAGTCCGGCCTCCTGGATGGTAAGCCTGAGGGGAGCAGCCTCCTGGAGCTGACCGCCTGCCCCCGTACAGCTGAGCCTTATTAAATTGCCAAGAGCTTTGAGGCAGGGTTAGCAATCCGTGGCCCTGCCTCTCACTCTGGGGAGATGGAGCTTTGCTTTGAAATGACGCGTTTTGGTTGGATAACATTTGTGAACAGCTGGAATGGTTGGTTATATCCAACTCATTTTCGTGTCTGAGTTACTGGACACATTTTTCAAAGGGTGTGTCTGATATCAGCAGACAGATTTGTTTTTTTTAGGAATAAGAAATCTGGGCATCTACTTGCTTTTGAAGGATCTTGGAGTCATCCAGTGCAGCTTGCTTGTTTCGCTGGAGAAGAAACTGAAGCCCTGTGTCACATTGGCGTTCATGTCACAGCTAAGACCCAGCGTCTTCTGATTGCCAGTGAAATTTCTTTGCTCTTGAACTAGGCACTTTTCCAAACTGTTTCTTTGTTTTATGTATGTAGAAAAAAAATGTGGCCAAAGTTTAAAAAAAAATTTTTTTTTCTTTTAAAAGATAAAAACACAGATAAAATCTTAGGTAAAGATCAATGTTTTTCAAAATAACACATGTGGGCATCCTTGTCTACAGGTCTTGCTGCTGAGAAAGCTCAGCTCTTTGCAGAAGATCTTTAAAATAAGGACTAAGAGTGTGTGGAACAGGATCTGTATCAGTAAGAGCTCAGAGACCGCAGATAGCTTCTGCCTTTATTTCTCATCCTTGTGCCTTTCTCCTGTTATAGAAGCAAAGTGGTCCCTTTTATTTAACTCTCTCTCTTTCTCTCTTTTCTTAAATTTAGGCACAGAGTCTTGCTCTGTTGCCTAGGCTGGAGTGTAGTGGTACGGTCATTGAGAGAGAGAGAGAGAGAGAGAGAGAGAGAGAGAGAGAGAGATAGAGATAGAGATAGAGAGATACCCAGGCTGGTCTCAAACTCCTAGGCTCAAGCAATCCTCCCACCTTGTCCTCCCAAAGCACTGGGGTTACAGGTGTAAGCCACTGCACCTTGTCCATTTTACTTTTTAAACTAGCTTTTTAAAAACAATTATGTTACAGATGGAGAAGGGGTAAAAATTAGAAATATGTGGCATAAGTTTATAATTGATTTCTCCAAGATGCATGTGGTTATTTGATGCCAGTTGTGGGGACTCCTAAGAGTAAAAGAGGCCAGGTTGTGTTTGACATAAATGAATCATTATTATTAAGGGTGAAATGTGAAATGCTGACTTTTGAGTGAAATGGGAAAAGGAGGAAGTTTTATCTTTTATTGCTATGGTTACTGAGACTTTAGTTATTTCTTTGAAGCTAACTTTGGCATTTCAAACAGGATATAATTTCTTGGCACTGATATTTGAGGATAATCGTTCATGTCCATAGCTGACTAAATTTTGGCAGTTTGTTCTCTCCCACACCCCCCAGTCTTTTAGCAAATTTTTGCAATGTGTACATGTGTAAGTACTCTCCAGGTCAATACCTATGTCTGAAATAGTTTTACTTGAAAGAGCTAACTTTTAAATTTATGTACTGACATTAAAACTCCTTGTAACTTGATATGGTATTTTTCAAACTGTAAAGTCAATTAAGCTGAAATCAGCCAATGAGAAAAAGAACTTACTTTATGACATTTAGAGAAAAAAATGGCACGGTTTGATTTCTGCCTTTGGGATCAAAGTAGAGTTTTCTTTGAAGTTAGAGACACTCTGGCTGTTTGTACCACGTTACTTTAGGTTTGGCCCTAAATGTCTGCTTTTTACTGGGTATGTAAAACTTTCTAATTGTGGGATTTAAAAATCTCTATTAGAATATGAGACAGCCCAAGTTTATATTCATTTATTTTATAATATTCAGAGATAATTATTACTGTCCTGCTTGGGACTTTTAATTCCAGAGGTTGACATTGACTTTAAGCTCAGTCAGCTTCTCCATCTGTTCTCTTTGCTTTTTCTTATTAGATGAGTGTCATTCTCTTAGTAATATGAGCTAATATTTATTGAACTTAATGAAGCCTTTGCTTCATATCTGACACATGATTTTATCTCATGCTATTTCATTTTATTCTCATGATAACTATGGGGCAGATCATTTCCATTTTACAGATAAAGGTTGGGACTTGAAAGAAGCTAAGTGACTGATACTCTGAGGGCTAGAAGGTGATGGCCATGGGCCTAGAGTCTGGGTTTGACTGGCCTCTGCCTCCCAAGCCCTCACCAGCAGGCCAGACTGCACCGGTTCCTTGGATAGGTCATACAATGCCTGAACTAGACACTGGGCTCATGTTTCCCACCTCTACAGATCTGGATTGGAATTTGGACTCTGCCTCTTAGAAGCTATGTGACCTTGGGTAAATTACTTAAATCCTCCAAACCTCCTCGCTCATTGGGAAGTTGTATAAAATCCGATGACAGATTCAGTTTTCAGTGCACAAGACAGGAAGAAGGCTGTCATGAATTACTTTATCTTATGCAGTAGCCTGACTTTTCTCAAGATTATTTTTGGTACATTAAGTTGTCTGGTTTGTTTTTCTCCTTTTCTTCTGAAATGCTGAGCCTAGCCAACTCCATCTGGAGTTGGGTCCCTGTGGTGGACCTGCTGTGGGCACCTCTTCACCTCCGTCGCGTCCTGTGGTTCTTCACATCATTTCTGGAGGCTACCGTGTGTGTTAGTGGCCTTTTCTGCAAGCCAGTTGTAAAATTAGTCCTGGCCTTTTAGGGTTTGAGTAAATAGCATACCTCTCCTCTGACCATGTTCAAAACAAGTGAAGAGATTGACAAGAGTTAGGCAGATGGAGGCCAAGGCATCAGTTTATTATTAACATAGCTGGTGCTGGAGACAGAATAAAGGAGGTACAAAGAGACTATACTGGAGAGAAGATAGAGCAAAAAGAAGCTTAGATAAAGGCAGAAAGTGGAGGGAGGAAGAAGAGATTACAACTAGAATTCTTCCTGTAAGATGGTACTTTGGAAGGGTTCTTGGAACTCCGCATTGTTTGTACCTTCAAGAAAAGGGGGTCTTGGAGAGGGACTTGCTGAAAGGTTACAAAGTCTATTGGTCAGCAGGTTTTTATTTTTAAAAATTTTTTTTGAGATAGAGTTTTGCTCTTGTTAGGTCAGCAGGTTTAAAAGTCAAATGCCTGGCCGGGTGTGGTGGCTCACGCCTGTAATCCAAGCATTTTGGGAGGCTGAGGTAGGAGGATCACCTGAAGGTCAGGTGTTTGAGACCAGCCTTACCAACATGGAAAAACCCCGGCTCTACTAAAACTAAAAAATTAGCCAGGTGTGATGGTGGATGCCTGTAACCCCAGCTACTCAGAAGGCTGAGGCAGAAGAATCACTTGAACCCTGTGAGGCAGAGGTTGTGGTGAGCCGAGATTGTGCCATTGTACTCCAGCCTGGACAACAAGAGCGAAACTCTGTCTCAAAAAAACAAAACAAAAAAGTCAAATGTGCTCTCCTGGACCAGCCTTTGAACTAGCTTGGTCAATGGCTGCTGGGTTGGAGGAGAAAATGGAAAGATTCTATTTACTTTCTTAGTTTTGAGACAGGTGTCAAAAATGGTCTTGCTCTGTCACCCAGTCTGGAGTGCTGTGGCGATATGATAGCCTACTACAAGCTCAAACTCTTGGGTCCAAGCAATCCTCCTGCCTCAGCCTTCAGAGTAGCTGGGACTACAGGTGCATGTCACCATGCCCGGCTAATTTTTAAATTTTTTTAGTAGAGACAAGGTCTCACTGTGTTGCCCAGGCTGCTCTCAAACTCCTGAGCTCAAGTGATCTGCCTGCCTTGGCCTCTCAAAGTGCTGGAATTACAGGCATGAGCCACTGCCTCCGGCCAAAGAGATTCTATTTTGGAAAGCTTGTTCCAGTCTATAAAAACAGTTGTTCTTGTTACCTTTAGGAGCTTCTTCAGTTAAACATCTTTAGATTATTATAGCTTTAATGTTGTATGGAAGTTGATAGTTTTTTGGTACTCATATATTTTGTATTTTATGTTTTTAAGTATGTTTATATTTCATGTTGTATCTTTATTATGATTTGCTTTTACATGTTTTTAAAAATATGTTTTGGTATGTTTTTCTGCTACATTGACTTGTGCCTTTTGACTGTGAAGGAAAATGAAATCATAGTGATGATTAACCACTGAAATGTGACCTGCTGTGTGAGATTGTGTATGATTGTTATTCTTATGCAGGTTTTTGATGGTTGCAGCCTCATAAGCTGTCCTGGCTATGCAATACTGTCCTTGCCTTGTTATAAGAGGTCCAACAAAGTCAGAGGCCACCGTCCCCTCCCCCAGGCCAACTTGTGTGTCATTTCCTGATTTAGGATTTATGAAAATAGCCATGTCATCCAAATTTACCCAGAAACAAAACCTATTACAAATTAAATCCATCTCTAATTCTGTCTGAATGCTTACAAAATCTGTATGTTTGATACGAAGTTCTTTTTTTTTTTTGAGACTGAGTCTTGCTCTGTCACCAGGCTGGAGTGCAGTGGCACAATCTCAGCTCACTACAACCTCCTCCTCCTGGGTTCAAGCAATTCTTCTGCCTCAGCCTCCCGAGTAGCTGGAACCACAGGCGCGTGCCACCATGCCCGGCTAATTTTTGTATTTTTAGCAGAGATGGGGTTTCACCATGCTGGCCAGGATGGTCTCGATCTCTTGAACTCATGATTCGCCCACCTCAGCCTCTCAAAGTGCTGGGATTACAGGCATGAGCCACCATACCTGGCCTGATATGAAGTTCTAACCATAATCTTAGATGATCTTAAATTTTATAACTCTAGAATTCTACCAGACTTCTAATAATTCAGTTTTATCATTTAAATTGTTGAAGGGAGTATAATTATATCTCATACATTGAGAGTCATTGGTCTGAGTACATCGTCATATCTTAGCATTTAAATGTTAAACTACAACAAAATCAATTTCTCTTTTCTATTTTTTAGCTTCTCGGACAAACTATTTAGTGGAAAAGGCTTACATTTTCAGCCATCAGTTTTAGATTTTGGAATACAGTAAGTATCTTTTCTTTACAATTAAAACTCATTTATGCTATTTATTTTCAGGATTTTTTTTTACATATATGTGCAATGTTAAATTTTAAGTATATTGATAATATGAAGGGATATTGATCCTGGGACTTGTTAAGAGAAATATTTTTTGTGAAAAGGAGAGTGCAACAGTTGTTTCAGTCCTTTCTTTAGTTTTTTTTTTTTTTGAGATGGAGTCTGCCTCTGTCACCAGGCTGGAATGCAGTGGCATGATCTTGGTTCACTGCAGCCTCTGCCTCCTGTGTTCAAGGGATTCTCCTGCCTCAGCCTCCTGAGTAGCTGGGACTACAGGCGCATGCCACCATGCCCAGCTAATTTTTGTATTTTTAGTAGAGATGCAGTTTCACCATGTTGCCCAGGATGGTCTCGATCTCCTTACCTCACAATCCGCTCATCTTGGCCTCCCAAGTTCTGGGATTATAGGCATGAGCCACCGTACCCGGCCTCCTTTCTTTAATTTTTAATAAGTATACCTTGTAATACTTTATAGTGATTGGAATTTAATAAAAAGTCAATGCTGTTTTTCCAAAACAAATCCTGTTATTTTATAATGAAAAACTCTTAAGTATTGATGGTCTCTGAATTTTTTTGCACTAGATTCATTTACTCACTTGCTTTTACTTCTTGCTGTGTCTTCTGGATTCAGAATTGCACCATGCTTACAGTTGTTAGGATTAAGACTTTGGAAACTCCAGTTGGGGAAGGCAGTGCATAAATTGTAATGACTTTACAGTATCATGTAAAGAACCACAAAATGAAGAGAATGTGATCTGAGTGCCAGTTGAGGGCCTAACTTGGGAACCTGGAAAAGTGAAGGGAAGGGTGACGCTGTGAAGAGCAGGCAACATTAGGACTCTTGTTTTCTGTGATAGTTTGAATCTTGAAGTGTTAAGCTTCCTGGATGCAGAATATAGCCACATTGAAAAGATAGAACTTCTAATTAGTGGTTTCAAGATTGAGGGGTTAAAGCGTTGCTTGTTTCTGGGGCCAGCTTACAACACTTCAGTTTCATGTAGAGCCTTTTGAATGATAAGCAAAGTTTTGTGAATGAAGTAACCATGGCCATAGGAGAGCATCTGGGCTGGGCTAGGGTGGGCTCCTGGTGTGCCCTCCTTACTTCATTTTACTCTTATATAAAGAGTATATATATACTCTTATATAAAGCATCTGGATTACTTGCTTTACATTCCCTTCTAATCATCAAAATGTTAGAGCTACAGTGAAGGAGAGTGAACTTGGAATTTTTTTATTGTTTTTATTTTTTAGACAGAGTCTTGCTCTGTTGCCCTGGCTGGAGTGCAGTGGCATGATCTCGGCTCACTGCAACCTCCATCCCCCGGGTTCAATCGATTCTCCCGTCTCAGCCTCCCAAGTAGCTGGGACTACAGGTGGCCACTACCACACTGGCTAATTTTTCTATTTTTAGTAGAGATGGGTTTTCTCCATGTTGGTTGGGCTGGTCTTGAACTCCTTACCTCAGGTGATCTGCCTGCCTTGGCTTCCCAAAGTGCTTGGATTACAGGTGTTAGCCACTGTGCCCAGCCCAATTTTTTTTTTTTTTTTTTGAGACAGAGTCTTCCTCTGTCACCTAGGCTGGAGTACAGTGGCACAGTGTCAGCTCACTGCAACCTCTGCCTCTTTGTATTTTTGAGAGAATCTTTTGAGAGGCTCAGACGATTCTCCTGCCTCAGCTTCCTGAATAGCTGGGACTACAGGTGCCTGCCACCATGCCTGGCTAATTTTGTATTTTTAGTAGAGATAGTGTTTTGCCATGTTGGGCAGTCTAGTCTTGAACTCCTGACCTCAAGTGATTTGCCCTCCTTGGCCTCACAAAGTGCTAGGATTATAGGCATGAGCCTCTGTGCCCAGCCTGAACTTGGAATTTAAAAGCATCATATTGAGCTTTTTAAAAAGAGATTCTATAAAATGAGGAAGAGAAAACTGGGACTTTGCCAACTTTATAAGATTCTAGGTGTTCGCTTTTTTTATTTTTTATATTTTTACTCTTATATAAAGAAAGTTTAATCAAAGCTAAATTTTTAATAATTCAATTGATAGTATAAATAAGCTGAATTTATCATAACCTCACTGATTTTAAATTCTGAGAGGAGACTATACTTTTGTGAAAATTCCTTATTGTGAGGCTGAGCGCAGTGGCTCATGCCTGTAACCCCAGCACTTTGGGAGCCCAGGGCAGGCAGATCACTTGAGCTCAGGAGTTCAAGACCAGCCTGGCCAACATGGCAAAGCCCCTGACTCTACTAAAAATACAAAAATTAGCTGGGCGTGGTGGTATGTACTTGTAGTCCCAAGTAGATTGAGGCACAAGAGTTGCTTGAGCCCAGGAGGCAGAGGTTGCAGTGAGCCAAGATCATCGTGCCACTGTGTTCCAGCCTGGGTGACAGAGCTAGACTCTGTATTGAAAAAAAAAAAAAGTCTTTATTGTGAAAAGAAATTTTGATGCAGGATCTACTTCAAAGAATATGTGTTTTAGATTGGTAGATATAAGATGGATCATAGTAAGTATAGCTGTTAGGATAATAATTCCAGTTCGTTGGATCCTGGCTTTCTAAAATATTTACTCTTCAGTAACATAGAAAAGTTCTATAGTTGGTTGAGCGTGGTGGCTCATGCTTTTATCCTGGCACTTTGGGAGGCCAAGACAGGCAGATTACCTGAGGTTGGGAGTTTGAGACCAGCCTGGCCAATAGGGAGAAACCCTGTCTCTACTAAAAATACAAAATTAGCTGGGCGTGGTGGCACATGCCTGTAATCCCAGCTACTCAGGAGGCTGGGATAGGAGAATCGCTTGAACCCGGGAGGTGGCAGTTGCGGTTAGCTGAGATTGTGCCATTGTACTCCAGCCTGGGCAACAAGGGTGAAACTCCTATAGTCAATGCTATAGTGGGTATGTATATACTTGTCCCTCATTATCCACATGGGATTGGATCCAGGACCCCTGTGGATGCTAAAAGCTGAGGATGCTCAAGTCCTTGGCATAGTATTTATATACACTCTCTCGTATACTTTAGATTATCTCTAGAGGCCGGGCACGATGATTTACACTTGTAATCCCAGCACTTTGGGGGACTAAGGCAGAAGGATCACTTGAGGCCAAGTTTGAGACCAGCCTGGACAACACTGTGTGAGACCCTGTCTCTATAAAATTTTTTAAAAAATTAGCTAAGCATGATGTGCACACCTGCATTTCCAGCTACTCATGAGGCTGAAGCAGGAGGATCACTTGAGTCCAGGAGTTCAAGGTTACAGTGAGCTATGGTCAATCATGCCACTGCACTCCAGCCCAGATGACAAAGTGAGACCCTGTCTTAAAAAAAACAAAACAAAAAAAACTCCAGTTTACTTATAATGACTAATACAGTGTAAATACTATGTAAATAGTTGTTATACTCTATCTCTTTATTTTTTTATAGTATTGTTATTTTTTGTTTTTTATTTTTCCCTCAAATACTTTCAATCAAGCTTGGTTGAATCTGCAGATACGGAGAACTGACCATATATGATACACATTTGTTAATTAGCAATATACATGAATTGCTGGCCCTAATAGCTAGAAGCATGCTGAGAGAATGCTGAAAGTCTTTGATTTGAAAGGATTTCTGATTTTTAGATTGAGTTGCCTTTGGAAGATTTAGTTATGTTTATATAGTGCTTTATGGTTCCCAAAGTGTGATCATGTCCCTTGTCATTTGAGTTTTATATCAATCCAGTGAGGACAGGTATTATCTGAGTCTGTATTATTTTCAAATATCTCTTTGTTCGAGCATGTACTGCAAATGTGTTCCTACATTTGTTGCTGAGAAGGAATGCAGTTTGCTCAGGGTCATTTCACTAAAAGTGGTAGAATAAATCTTCTGATTTCTAAGATAGCACTCATGATGCTATTTTTCTTATTAGTGAGGTCTGGAATATGATTATGAGAATTAGTTTGCTGAAGTTAAAAACTCATTAAGAACCAACTTTAGCCTAAATTAGAACACATTTATGATTAGTTGAGTTTTACCTTATGTCTGACAAATGGCTTAATTTATAGGCATTAGAGTAAAACTTTACTCCAAGGGTTCTTCACTGGCCCAGTTCAGCTTTTGCTGTGGTTTATTTTGATGTTGGCCTTGAGCAAATCCCAACTCTCTTCATAGCTTTGATTTTCCTGGAGGATGCAAAGTTGGGATCTTGTTACTCAGTTGCCTTCTGCCCACTTCTTAGGGCTTAGGTTAAGGGTTAATATTCTGCTGGTCCAAAGATGAAAATTGTTAATAATTCATAGATATTTTAATCATTTCTTTTGTAGTGTTAAATTAGTAGTATTTTCCAGTTGTCACTAGTGAAGGAAATTTATATCCTCATAACACTTTTAAAAATAGAATTAAAAAAATAGAATAAAAATAGCACAGTGGTGACTGGGCTTCAGCTAGCATTCTCTGTTAGGTCTGGAGAGATTTCTGATGGTGCAGTCACTGACTCTGTAGCACTGCTGTTTTGCATTCTTGTTTTCTCATGTATTTCTCTGATAGACGTGTATTCTTTAAAACCAGAAACCTTGTATTTCAATTATGTGAATGGAATATAAAGCTTTGAGGATAAATATTAATAACTTTGATGACTGATATCACAGAAGTTCTTATTTATTTCATTTTAATTGTGGGAAGAAAGAGCCTAGTTCTCTGAGGTAAAGCTTTTTTGAAGTGACCCTTTATGTGTATGGTACTGTTGAATATTTTTTAAAAAAAGATTGTATTAAGAACATTTTGAAAAATCAGGATTTCAATCACATTGATGTGGTATTTTATCTGTAATGGGATGTGAAGAACTACATTTTGAAATACACATTGGACATATTAAACCTGTTGTTAAGACTAGTGATTAAAAGTAAGGGTGAAAGCCAAAAGAAAAATTCCAAGGATTTGATGGTAGTAATATAGTATTTTGGAAATCTCATTGTATATAAGAGAAGCAACATCCATGTCATTTTTCCTAAAGCATACATTTTTAGTATCAGAGAAATTTGAATAAAATTAGAAAAATATCAGCATAATGAATATTAGGTATAATTCATTCATTATGCTGAAATTTTTCTAATTTTATTCCAATTACAGATATAATTAATTCAGCTTAAATTAGAATATAATTTTATTTCTAGGCCATCCTGATGAGAACTGTGTATTTGGCTCTGTCTGCCACTGAAGCTATTAAAACTGAAGAAATGACTTCAGTGAAATTTTTGCTGGCTCTCTGTTCATTGCAACATAATGAACGAGACTGAATTTGGTCTTGAGAAGTAGGAATCAGAGTTAAGTGATTGGAGGGAGCATTGTAGGTGGCTCCAGGTAGGTGGGCCAGAGACCAGCTCCTTTCCTCTGGCAATTCCTTTATCAGAGCAGAGACGCTGTAGGTGGAGAATGCTCCGGAAAAGAATTGGCATCGAACCCTTCGTGAATTAGTGCGTTTGCCACGGAGCAGAGATTCTTACTCTGAGGTTTATGGAAGGTTTTGAAGCTGTGTTTGAAACTTTTTGTTGTTAAAGTGTATGTTTGTGGAAGGAGGAGCCAGAGCTTTCATCAGAGTGTTTGGAAAGGCTCATAATTTAAATGGATGGGAACCACAGCTGCAAAGTGCTGCAGCATTTGCAGTTTTCTCACAAGAATGGCCTTTAGCCATAATTAAGTTTTCCTTTTATAAGCTCTAATAAAATAACATCTCTGTAAGTTGAAAATGCATACCTCCCTAAAAAGTCCCTTTAAATTTATTACTTAGAAAACACTACCCTAAGAAAAATTGGGGTTTTGTATGAGTAGTTTCTCATCTCAACATATTTTCATTTGAATTAGAGACCCACGTCCGAAAAGTGCCTACATGTGGTTTTTTTTTTTTTTTTGCAAGCATTTTAATGGCCTAGATGGGTTAAATTTTTCTAACACAGAAACCAATGGAGTGCCACTGTGGGTTGGCCTACACCTAAAAGACAGTTGTTTTTTTATTTTATGGTTTTTGACTGTTGTGAATTAAATGCTTTATTACCAACACAATTGGATAATTTAACTTTGTGATGAACAGCAACAGCTTTCTGGGTTTAAAAGTATGTGTGTGTGTGTATATAATAATACATATATGTATGTATAGTAATACAACGATGCAATCTATTGATTTTTCTTTGTTTCTCCTCCTAGGTTCCTGGGACATCCTACAGCAAAGATTCTCCATGCTTACAACCCTAGTAGGGACAGCGAAGTTGTGGTGAATTCAGTGTTTGCAGCTGCTGGACATTTCCATGTGCCACCAGTTCCCTGCAGGGTGGGTGTTGATGGACTCCTGGAAACTATGCTGTGGCAGGCTGCCAGGTTTTCTTGCTTTCTTTGGCCTGAAGGTTTTACTTTCTGCTCTCTGTCTCCGCGTTTTCTGCTACCCAAAGCTTTCCTTCTGTGTGTTTTACCTTGCATTTACTTTTCCAGTTGTTCATTTTTATAATTTTGGAGGCTCTTGATATCTACTGGGGGCGGAGGAGGCGGGGGTTGCGGGGGAGTTTGAAGGCTCTCAGCTGTGTAGTAATGTATGTGTATTTAACGTGGCTTTATTGTGTCTCAAGAAAGTTTATATTACTTGTCTTGAAATGACTACAAACTCTGAGACATTTAGTAACTAATACAAGTTTATAGTTGAGACCTCTTCCCCCTCTCCAACCTGCTAGGAAAATTAGGTCTCCTTTCTGAATGTAGGACTGCAAGGTCTAGCGAATGGCTCCTTGTAAAGCTGATTGGCACCATAACAGAGAGCTTAAACCTAGTCATCTAATAGTTTTAATTTCAGTGGTCTTGAATGTTTAATGATGATCCAATTAGGATCATTAGTGAGCAGGCTTTTATTTATTTTGCTAACTATGTCTGCCTGATATTATGTACTTAAAAAAAAAAACACTGGGACTAAGAACGTGTTCTAAGGGGAAGCCCAGTATTTGTTTTATGACAGTCAGTCTGGATAAACGTTGTTCCTGATTTTTATTACATATCAGCATGTTTGTATGTTGGTTATTCTCTATATTTAAGTAGAGATAGGTCTGTTAGCTAAAGACAGTTGGACCTGTGGGTGTGGGAAAGGAGGGGAAGGAAAGATGTGAGAGTGACAGCTCCGGTCTGAAGTGAAAGGACTCGTCTTCAGGCAGTGGTATATTCTTTGATATATCCTTTTAGATAGGTGGACACTAAGCAGTTTGGGGCTTCTTATGGATTCATGATACCGATAAATCAAGGGTGCACAATATGCAAATGTCTATTAACAGAAATTGTCAAAAAAAAAAGAAAGTCTGTGAAAGATAATTCATCAAAGGGGCTATTCCTCCAAATGGCTGATTGGGTATCTTTCTTTCAGGTAATTCCAGCACTGGGGAAAACTTCCTTCAGAATTATTTTCTTACCTACTGAAGAAGGAAGCATTGAAAGTTCTTTATTTATTAACACCTCTTCCTATGGAGTCCTTTCCTATCATGTGAGTAACTTTTCCTTATGTCACATAATTTGGTTGGTTGACCTAACCATAGGGGTGGATATTTTTAAAAGACTTTTGGAAATGTTATCATCTGGTTTATGTCATTAAAATATAAGACTGTTAGTGATGTTAAACTTATCAGCATTCACCCTTTTCTGCCTGACATGCCACAGTTGGCTGTCTTTCCTATAAGTACAGGGCTATAACCCTACTGTGGATCTTTAGAGGATACAGAGCAAAGAAATCTGTCACAGTTTCCTGTCATAAAATACAGAAGTCGTTCAAAGCTCATGGCTCTCACCTCACAGGCAGTTTGGAAGGAGTGCTCTAAGGACAATCTCTAGTGATTTTGCCTACCTCCCCTCCTTGGCTCAGGAATATTTCTGATTGGGAGACATTGATTGTGTGCTTGGATGCTGGTTCCAAGGGAGCTCACTATTCATATCAAGGTACCAGGAAGGGAGCTTGAAGAATCTTATTGCTGTTCTCAGAAACAGGAATCATTATCTCAAATGGTACCTGATGCAGCATTTAACAAGATGTGGCATCAAGTAATTGAAGTGCCAAGATCAGTTTTTGTGGTTATTTCTTACTGGATTCCATTAAAGAGGTCCCATATCAGAAGAGCTGTCTGCTTGTGAACAGATTTGCCACAGTGAGGAACATTCAGCTTAAATACAGCGTTCTGTATTTCTTTCTTTTATTTTCTTTTTTCTTTTTTTTTGAGACAGGGTCTCACTCTGTTGCCCAGGCTGGAGTGCAGTGACGTGATCTCAGCTCACTGCAATCTCCACCTCCCAGTCTCAAGCAATTCTCCTGCCTCAGCCTCCCAACACTGCCCAGCTAATTTTTGTATTTTTAGTAGAGACAGGGTTTCACCATGATAGCCAGGCTGGTCTCAAAGTCCTGGCCTCAAATGATCCACCTGCCTGAGCCTCCCAAACTCTTGAGTGGGAGAACCATCGTGCCCAGCCAACATTTTGTATTGCTGAAACATTCATTGTGTCTTTTGTAGTCAAAGATACATATAATAATTGGATTAATAGAGTCTTGAAGGCCATGGTGATGAATATAGATTTCCTTTAGAGATGCTTTCGTGTCATGGCAATTGTGTTTTAAAACTAATAGAGGAGCAATTCTCTCTCTTTCTCTGCAGGTATCTGGAATTGGCACTCGCAGAATCTCTACAGAAGGATCTGCAAAACAGCTACCAAATGCTTATTTTCTGCTTCCAAAGGTCCAGAGCATTCAGCTGTCACAAACGCAGGTCATTTTAATAGATTTACTTTGAATGCTGGTAGCTGCCAAACTTTGTAACCCTCTCAGAATTGGGGTTTTTACTATTTTCTGCTTTTTGAGAAAATGATATAGAAATAATATACATATGTAAAATATTAGTGAATTCCACGTAACTTCTTTTTAATGGCTGTAGAGTTCACAGTGTTGATATTCCATAGTTTGCCTAATCTTACTGTTGGTCTTTTGAAATGTTTCCAGTTTGTTTGTTTGTTTGTTTGTTTTGTGACGGATTCTCGCTCTGTCACCTAGGCTGGAGTGCAGTGGCGTAATGTCAGCTCACTGTAATCTCTGTCTCCAGCTTCAAATGATTCTCCTGCCTCAGCCTCCTGAGTAGCTGGGATTACAGGTGCTTGCCACCACGCCCAGCTAATTTTTTCTTTTTTTGTATTTTTTGTAGAGACGGGGTTTCACCAGGCTGGTCATGCTGGTCTCGAACTCCTGACCTCATGATTCACCCACCTCAGCCTCCCAAAGTACTGGGATTACAGGCGTGAGCCACCATGCTTGAAATGTTTCCAGTTTTTCACTGTTATTACCGTTAGGCCATATACCTATTTTATAAGTTTCTTTAATTTTGCTTCTGATTCCTCTGTTTCCTTGGGGCATGTTTCATAAAGAGGAGACATGCTTTGGTTAAAGACTGTGAACCATTTTACAGAGCTTGTTAAATCTTAATCTGGTTGCTTTTCAGGGAGACAACCTCCATGGTCACCAATAATGACCGGCCTCTAAGGATATCTTGCTGTCTTTCCCCACTTCCTGCTTCTAGTCCTGCCGGGTGGGGCTTAGTGGGAAGAACTATTTCTGTTGTTGTTGTAGATGTACAGTGATAAGTTAAAATTATTTTAATATATATTTCATTAATCATTTTATAGGGTTAGCTACTTTTTTCTTTGATTATCCATATTTCCTTGGAACTGGGTAACATAATTGAGAAAAGCTCTTGAACCAATATATTATGAAACTTACCTCTTCTTTTGGATTGTTAAATAAGGAGCATTGCTTAGAATTTGTAGTCAATACCATTAGTACCTGGGGCTTTCATTCATTTAGCAGTTCTCTTGAGCCTCTGCTTTGTGCCAGGCCTTGGTCTAGAGTTTGTATCTGCATAGAGCTTACATTCCAATTGAGGAGAAAACCCAAATTTATTTACCTCTAGGGTTATATCTATATTAATTTACCTCTAGGGTTATATCTGGGATCTTTATCACCAAATAATTCTTAGGGATTTAAAATATTATTTTTATTTTTACAAAACTGCAAGGCACCTCTTTGCAGAATTTTAAGGAGTACTTCTTTTAATTTGCAAATTTATATTTGGTTTAAATCCTAAAACCAGGGGGGATGTGTTGAAAGTTTTTAAGTAGGAGACTGATACTTGCATTTTTGGAGAAGGGATTAGAAAGAGTGAGATTCAGTTTAATTTGCATATGCTGGCAGAACAGGTTTCAGCAGATGAACATTTTCAGCCTTATCTCAGGTCTATCCTTCAGCAAAATGGGGCAGCTGAGAATGGCCGGGTTTCTCTCGTGACTGCACTGAGAGCTCAGAGGGCCAGATGCCTTATCAGTGGAGATCTGAGTATTGGAATACAGATGGGTATTCAGAGTACCTTAGCTATTGGGGGTTGAGGTGAGGGTAAGTAGAATGAAAGGCCTCCTAGAGAGCTAGGACAGCTTGCCTATTATCTGACCCCCGTAGCCTGGCAGATCCTGCATACTTCTTATGATGCCCACTGCCCTTTCCTGTACCAGGCCATCCTCATTTCTCTTCTGGTTAACTGTAGTATCCCATTAACTACCAGCATCTGCTTTGGTCCCTTCCTACCTCTTTCCCCAAAATTCAAGTTGGATCACATTCATTAGTCCCCTGCTTGAAACCCTTCAGTGCGTTCCCGTAGGTCTTCGAATTTAAACCAAATCCTGCTTATGGCTGTGAGGCCTGCATGGTCTGGCTGCTGTCTCTCTTCACCTGCATTGCACACTGCCCATTCTTGGTCTCTACCTCATGGCCGCAAGAGCCCTCCCCCGTTGATTGTGCAGTGTCTCCCCCTGTGTCTGCAGTGATCTCAACCTCCACCTCCACCTCCAACTTTTCTCCAAATTAACCCTTATTTCATCCCTCCTTTTTCAACACACACTTGAGCTCTTCAGGGACTCTTGCCTCTCTCCCCATCCTAATTTCAGGACCTTTGTTAGACTTCTACTCCCATACTTATCTCCATTAAATAATCACACTTTGACATGATGTAATTGCTTCACAATTCTTTCCATCACCCATGGAATGGAAGCTCCGTGAAAGCAGGGACTGTGTGATTGGGCTTCCTGTTACACTCCCTGCACCTCACCTGGGAAGCAGTGGTTGAGTGGAGTTTTGGCCCGAGGTAGCTCTGGGGCTATCCTCACAGGCCAGGTTCTGTCACTCCCTGTGCTGCTTTGTTTCTGCTTCAGAGCATACCCAACTTTGTTTCTTTTCTTTTTGGTATTTAAAAAATTTATTTTGTAAACAGCGTTATGAAATATAATTCACATATCACAAAATCCACTTACTTAAAGTGTACCATTCAGTGGGTTTTAGTATATCCAGAATTGTGCAGTCATCACCACTGTCTAAATTTAGAACATTTTTATTGCCTCAGTCTCTTATTTTCTGTCTCTAAAGATTTGTCTAGAAAAGCAACATTTTTTGTAAAAAAGAAAAAATTTGTCTATTTTGAACATTTTAGGTAAATGAAATGTATGGTCTTTTGTGATTGGTGTCCTTTTCTTAGCATGTTTTCAGTTTCATCTGTCTTTCATTTCTTTTTATTACAAATAATGTACATTGTATGACATGCCGCATTTTGCATAATCATCCATCGGTGGACATTTGTGTTGTTTTTACTCTGGCTATTATGAGTAATGTTCTATGAACATTTTTGTGTAAGTTTGTGTGGATGTATCTTTCATGTCTTTTCTCTTGGATGCGTACTTAGCGGTGGAATTTTGCTGGGTCATATGGTAATTCCGTGTTTAACATTTTGAGGAACTGTAAAACTGTTTTCTAAAGTGGTTGCATCGTTTTACAATCCCACTAGCAATCTATGAGGATTCCAGTCCTCTACAACTTTGCCAATACTTATCTTGCATTTTTGCTTTTGTTTTTTTTTTTTTTAGTAGCTATCTTACTGGGCATGAAGTGGTATCTCATGTGGTTTTGATTTGCATCTTTGTAATGACTAATGACATTGAGCATCTTTTCATGTGCTCAGTGACCATTTGTATATCGTCTTTGGGGAAGTGTCTGTTCATATCCTTTGCACATTTTAAAATTGTGTTTGTCTTTTTATTGTTGAATAGTAAATGGATTAAATCCTGGATGTTGGGCCTTTATCAGGTACATGGTTTGCAAATGTTTTCTCCATTTCTATAGGTCATCTTTTCATTTTCTTGATGATGCCCTTTGAAATATAAAAGATTTAAATTTTGATGAAGTCAAGTTTTTCTGTTTTTCCTTTTGTCACTTTATGATTTTAGTATTATATCAAAAAAGGCCTAAGGTTATAAAGCTTTACTCCTATGTTTCCTTCTAAGAATTTTATAGTTTACATTTAGGTTTTTTTAAAGTATGTGTCTATGTGTATGTGCGCGTGTGTGTGTGTGTGTATACACACATATATGTATACATATATATATACACACACATATATATATATTTTTTTATCATTGACAATGTTTATTATTAAGAAACTTTAGCTGTAGGTTTTTTAAAAGAATGTTGGTTTTAGAATACACAAAGAGGACACTCTGTGACAAGATATATACAAACAAGGATAATTAAAATATTAAATACTATCTAAATTAAAAGACCATAATTCAAATTGCTAATTATAATCTTTGTGCCTTGGTAGAAATAACTATGGTTCCCCTTCATGAAATTCACCCTCATCTTTTCACAAAGACATATATATATATATACACTTTTTTTTTCCCCTTTTTCTTTTTTTTTTAGAGACAGGGTTTCACTATGTTGGCCAGGCTGGTCTCAAACTCCTGACCTCAGGTGATCTGCCTGTCTCAGCCTCCCAAAGTGCTGGGATGACAGGTATGAGCCATCATGCCTGGCCTTACATTTAGGTTTACGACCCATCCTGACTTTAAGTTTTAGTATATGACGTGAGGAAGGGATTCATATTCATTTTATTGCATGTAGATGTCTGGTAGTTCCAGTATCATTTGTTGAAAAGACAGTTCTTTCTACACTGAATTGTCTTGGTATCCTTGTTGACCTCTCATCTGTGGCCCCATTCCTGGCTGTAGATTCTCTCCTTCATTTTTCATTTATCTTAGGGTCTGTGAGTTTAGTTAAGTCACTTTCTAAAGCTGCTCTTTTTGGCCATAATTCTCCCCCCATCAGACAAAAATAGTTATTGAAACATTATTTTTTGAGTATTACAGTAAATGATAGGGCTGTGAACACAACACAGTATCCCTACTCTTGTGATATTACAGTATAAAATACTTCAGAATTCGTAGATTAAACATAATTTTTGTGCTGGTCTTCTTTTAGAAACCAGTATTTAAAAATCTGAGTATCAAAAAAACTCTTAAAAGACAGTTATTTTCATTTTTTTCATTTTTACTGTGAATCAGAAAAATACATTTTAAAGTATCTTTTAAGTCTTGCTGTACCTAAAACCAAAAACATACAAAATTTAAACCTAAGAAATAATTGTGGCATTCCTCTAGAAAAAAAAAATCCTGACTATAATATTTCTGCGTCAAAACTGCATACATTATGTGAGTTCTTTGTTGTATTTTAAGTGACTATAAAGTTGTCAACTGTTCTTAGAAAGGCATGTCTTTATTTTGATATTCTACCTGTTTTACGTTTTTATACTCTCTGCCTGTTGTCAAGAGCTTATTGTCCAGGGTTGGGGTTAGTGGATTCAGGAGACTCCCTCAAAAAGGATAAGAGGGTGTGGAAGGT